CATGGTACAGTGTATCTCTGGGTGTCACTGATCGGTATTCCATGGTACAGTGTATCTCTGGGTGTCACTGATCGGTATTCCATGGTACAGTGTATCTCTGGGTGTCAATGATAAGATATTCACGTGCACTATGGTTGCACTGATAACTCATTCCAATATTTGTACACATCTGTCACTTCAATATCAATATCAATATCTACGCCCGGGTCCAAAATCAACTTGTGTCGGCGCTTTAAGTTATGGTAAAGATATTGTTTATATCTGGGAAAAAACCTGTAATATTACCATTTGACCGCTTCAAATTGATTGCTATTAGCTTTATATACGTACCATAAAGAGCAGTGGCAAAGGTATCTTCTTATCTACCTTTTACAATACGTTACTTTTTTACCATTTACATCAATGATAATAGTCTTTCTTCCCTTTTCGTTAACGGCGATGTGAAACCTTACTTTATTTTCGTTAATGATCAAAATAATTTACCTACCTTATTTTAATGACAATAAGAAATATATTTTTCCATTGCAGTATAAAATGTGTACCCTCGTTATCCTACTGATACCTAAGCACTTCCCCATTAATCGTTTCTTTACGTCTGTACACACTATCTAAACCCTACCCGTTTTGTATTACAGACAATGCCTTCCCTATACCATGTCCTGTTCCTGTTGTTGGCCGTATTTCCTCTGTGCCATTTCCAGACGTCTACACGTGCCCGTTCTCTCGCCCTCAATCCGGAGTTTGTCAGGTGGATAAACACATTGTTTTACCTGCCTCCGGAGGGACAGCTCCGCTACCGGAAGGAATACCGCCTCCTGACTGACCAGGAACGAGGAGATTTCCACAGAGCCCTGCTCATGCTCAAGGAGGACAGGGTAGGTTTTTATCATGACGGTGTCTTTATAAGGAGGACAGGGTAGGTCTTTATCATAACAGTCTCTTTATAAGGAGGACAGGGTAGGTTTTTATCATAACTGTCTCTTTATAAGGAGGACAGTGTAGGTTTTTATCATAACGGTATCTTTATAAGGAAGGCAGGGTTATTAGGGTTTATTCTATAATCGTATATAAATAAGGCAGTCAGGGTTAGTGTTTATAATATCTATACTTAGTATAAAAAGGCCAAGGTTAGTATGTATAACGGAATCTATATAGGGTCAAGGTTGGTGTTTATATATAAGGAGGTCAATTTTAGTGTTTATTTATAAGGAGGTCAATGTTAGTGTTTATATATAAGGAGGTCAATGTTAGTGTTTATATGTAAGGAGGTCAATGTTAGTGTTTATATATAAGGAGGTCAAGACTAGTGTTTATATATAAGGAGGTCAATGTTAGTGTTTATATATAAGGAGGTCAATGTTAGTGTTTATATATAAGGAGGTCAATGTTAGTGTTTATATATAAGGAGGTCAATGTTAGTGTTTATATATAAGGAGGTCAATGTTAGTGTTTATATATAAGGAGGTCAATGTTAGTGTTTATATATAAGGAGGTCAATGTTAGTGTTTATATATAAGGAGGTCAATGTTAGTGTTTATATATAAGGAGGTCAATGTTAGTGTTTATATATAAGGAGGTCAATGTTAGTGTTTATATATAAGGAGGTCAATGTTAGTGTTTATATATAAGGAGGTCAATGTTAGTGTTTATATATAAGGAGGTCAATGTTAGTGTTTATATATAAGGAGGTCAATGTTAGTGTTTATATATAAGGAGGTCAATGTTAGTGTTTATATATAAGGAGGTCAATGTTAGTGTTTATATATAAGGAGGTCAATGTTAGTGTTTATATATAAGGAGGTCAATGTTAGTGTTTATATATAAGGAGGTCAATGTTAGTGTTTATATATAAGGAGGTCAATGTTAGTGTTTATATATAAGGAGGTCAATGTTAGTGTTTATATATAAGGAGGTCAATGTTAGTGTTTATATATAAGGAGGTCAATGTTAGTGTTTATATATAAGGAGGTCAATGTTAGTGTTTATATATAAGGAGGTCAATGTTAGTGTTTATATATAAGGAGGTCAATGTTAGTGTTTATATATAAGGAGGTCAATGTTAGTGTTTATATATAAGGAGGTCAATGTTAGTGTTTATATATAAGGAGGTCAATGTTAGTGTTTATATATAAGGAGGTCAATGTTAGTGTTTATATATAAGGAGGTCAATGTTAGTGTTTATATATAAGGAGGTCAATGTTAGTGTTTATATATAAGGAGGTCAATGTTAGTGTTTATATATAAGGAGGTCAATGTTAGTGTTTATATATAAGGAGGTCAATGTTAGTGTTTATATATAAGGAGGTCAATGTTAGTGTTTATATATAAGGAGGTCAATGTTAGTGTTTATATATAAGGAGGTCAATGTTAGTGTTTATATATAAGGAGGTCAATGTTAGTGTTTATATATAAGGAGGTCAATGTTAGTGTTTATATATAAGGAGGTCAATGTTAGTGTTTATATATAAGGAGGTCAATGTTAGTGTTTATATATAAGGAGGTCAATGTTAGTGTTTATATATAAGGAGGTCAATGTTAGTGTTTATATATAAGGAGGTCAATGTTAGTGTTTATATATAAGGAGGTCAATGTTAGTGTTTATATATAAGGAGGTCAATGTTAGTGTTTATATATAAGGAGGTCAATGTTAGTGTTTATATATAAGGAGGTCAATGTTAGTGTTTATATATAAGGAGGTCAATGTTAGTGTTTATATATAAGGAGGTCAATGTTAGTGTTTATATATAAGGAGGTCAATGTTAGTGTTTATATATAAGGAGGTCAATGTTAGTGTTTATATATAAGGAGGTCAATGTTAGTGTTTATATATAAGGAGGTCAATGTTAGTGTTTATATATAAGGAGGTCAAGGTTAATGTTCATATATAAGGAGGTCACAGTTATCGTTTATAACGATATCTATATAAGAAGGTCAAGGCTATCGTTTATAACGATATCTATATGTTTCTATATAAGGAGGTCAAAGTTGGAGTTTATAATAGTATCCATTTAAGAAGGTCAATGTTAGTGTTTCTATATTAGGAGGTCACAGTTATCGTTTATAACGATATCTATATAAGGAGGTCACGGTTGGTGTTTATGACGATATCTATATAAAGAGGTCAAGGTTATCGTTTATAACGATATCTATATAAGGAGGTCAAGGTTAGAGTTTATAACGATATCTATTTAAGGAGGTCAAGATGGTTTGATAATGGATATCGAATGTTGGCCTGTCCCCATAACACCACGTGGCTAGTGGTTTAGTAACTACTGGAAACATACAGCTATTCAGCACTATCTAATATACTATAACGCATTGTAAAGGGCAGGCAAAAATGCTGGTGCCGAAATCATACAAAAAGTACCAGTGACATTTCGTCCAGACCAAACCATGACAAACATCTTTATTATTATTCAACGTTTTATTACATCGAGTTTAACATTTGACAAACGCGAGATGAGGACGTGTCATTAGCGCAGTGATTAAGAGATGTAGCTGTCATTTTGATACGAGCCCCGAGTCAGGGTACGTGTCAATGGAGTCAGTGTAGTTTAGCATTATACTTCCTCCTTTCGGCACGTGCTCTTATGCGAATTGCATTTTAATGCCTGTCCGTTCCTACTGACTAAGGTTGATCATGACACTAGCCATTCCTACATTACTGATTTAATCCTTGTCCCATCATATTAATTGCTTCAATTCCTTATTGTTCATCCGAGTTCGTTTTTAACCCAGATCATTCATGATAATTTGTTAAAATTCCTTTATCATAATAAAGGTTGTTTTGATTATATCACTTAAATTTCTGATCAACAAAGATTACTTGTTTTCATATCTAACCGTTCATTCATATAAGCTGTTTTAGCTTCTATACGTTTATAATCACTTATTTTAATTTCTGACCGACCATGATGACCTGTTCTAATTTCTGACCGGCCATGATAACCTGTTTTAATTTCTGACCGACCATGATCACCTGATCTAATTTCTGACCGGCCATGATCACCTGTTCTAATTTCTGACCGACCAAGATCACCTGTTCCAATTTCTGACCGATCGTGATCACCCGTTCTAAATTCTGATCGACCATGATCACCTGTTATAATTTCTGACCGGCCATGATCACCTGTTATAATTTCTGACCGATCATGATCACCTGTTCCAATTTCTAACTGACCATGATCACCCGTTCTAATTTCTGACCTATCATGATCACCTGTTTTAATTTCTAACCGACCATGATCACCTGTTTTAATATCTGACCGATCATGATCACCTGTTTTAATTTCTGACCGACAATCATCACCTGTTTTAATTTCTGACCGACCATGATCACCTGTTTTAATTTCTGACCGACCATGATCACCTGTTTTAATTTTTGACCGACCATGATCACCTGTTCTAATTTTTGACCGACCATGATCACCTGTCCTCATTTCTGACCGATCGTGATCACCTGTTCTAATTTTTGATCGACCATTACCAGCTGCTTTAAATTACTGACCGGCCTCGGTCACTTGTTTATTTTTTGTTACTTTTTTACATGGGTTTATTAATCTATTGATAATTCTCTGTGATTTGTTTCCCGAATTTATGTATGGAAAGGTTGTGGCTGTTTATAACCACACATTATCGTTGATTGTAATTAATCACCGCACTTGATGCTTTGCCTACATTCCTTTTAAATTACACTGATCTTTTGAATGACTAGCTAAATAATACGTCTCATGTTGGATCTTAAATGGTGACTCTTTAAATAGGTACCTTACTGGTATGGTTTCCTGCCTGTTTATAAATTCTTGTGTTAGCGGTTTGACCTGTTTCAGTTCCGGACCGTTCATATTATCAGTTGCTGACCGATCACAAACACCTGACTCACTTCCTAACAATTAACAACGCATTGTGTTATTTTCTGAACCCATCATACTGACCGGTGTTTGATTTTTGACCATAAATTGTCCTTATTTAATTTCTGCCCGTTAATACCGACTTGGTTTTGGGTTCGTTGACTAGATAACTCAACATTAGACGCCGTTTTGAACAATAACCGACTTTCAGTGGAGTCGCAATATTGGTGTCTGATACATTATGAGGGATGAAATAGAGATAAATATGGAAAGTCATGGTGTTCATGGTGATGTCTTAATCAAATGGTGTGCTATTGTCAAACGATGTGAGAAGCCATGTTTAAAAGGAGAAATTCGTTTGTGAGTAAGAGTTTTGTGTCTGTATTTGATGGCTGGTACTAAGATATCCTTTTGTTACAGTCGGTGCAGCCCAATAAGTACGACGCGTTGGCGTCCCTCCACCACCTTAACACCGCCAATGGTGCTCACGGCGGACCAAACTTCCTCGGATGGCACAGAGTATACATCGTGTTGTAAGTATACTAGGTCATCGGCATCAAATATCACACAAAACAATAAAATCAAAGCTGAAACATCTTTCAATATCAAACTTATCAGTTCAAATTAAATGTTAGATTGTCGGTGGGCAGGTAATGAGTCCTTTCTTCCTTAAACACTGTAGTAAGTGCTCTTTATCGTCGTTACATAAGGTATGTCTTGTTTGAGAGTATTTTGTGTCTTGTTTGAGAGTATTTTGGTATGTCTTGTTTGATAGTATTGTGTGTCTTGTTTGAGAGTATTTTGTGTCTTGTTTGAGAGTATTTTGTATCTTGTTTGAGAGTATTTTGTGTCTTATTTGAGAGTATTTTGTGTCTTGTTTGATAGATTTTTTGTCTTGTTTGAGAGTATTTTGTGTCTTGTTTGAGAGTATTTTGGTACGTCTTGTTTGAGTATATTTTGTTGAAATTTGTTCTTCAAATGTGACTGTATTGTCAACTTTTCCTTTCATCACCAGAGTGGAAAACGCCTGCCGTGAGAAAGTTCCGAACGTCACAATACCATATTGGGACAACACACTCGACCAGGACCTGGCTGATGCCACTCGCTCTATCACATGGTCTCCTCTGTTTCTTGGAAACGGGAATGGTGTGGTAGAAAACGGACCATTTCGTAATTGGGGTACACCATACGGATTACTACGACGTAATATCGGGTCAGAAAGAACACTGATGACCTCAACAAATATAAACAATGTGTTACGTAGACGCTGGTTGTGGCAGATTACCCATCCGAGCGGTCAGGATAACAGTAACCTGGAGCTTCTTCACAATAATGTCCACGTGTGGATTGGTGAGCAGATGAGTCGTATCGAGTCCTCATCATATGATCCGGCGTTCTTTGTACATCATGCGTACGTGGATTGCATATGGGAGGAATTTAGAAACAGGCAACGCCGTATGGGCATTAATCCAGCGCGAGATTTCCCGCGAATCGTCGGGGAAAATGAACAGCTCCCACTGGTGCCTATGGGCCTAGGAAGACTACTTGTGATTGATGGCATTAATGATATATTTACAAGGCGGATCTATAGATGCCAAGCTAGACCTAGGTGTGTACCAAATACGAACAACTGTGGCTCCCCCTATCTCCGATGTGATTGGTCTACTCGGCGTTGTCTGCCCCTGATTATGAGTAGACCCTCTGTGTCCTTTGTTCAACCTGCACAGCAGCCTTGGTGGTCGCGCTTTAATAGTAGACAGACGGCAGGACAGAACAGTTTTAATATTTTTGGATAGGAAATACCATAGATATTTGAATATGGCTAGTATTATATTGTTCAGAATGTGCTTTAATGCAAATGGCAGAATTTTGAACTAGTCTTTAAAATGCACAAAAATGAATATATGTAATTCAGGGCAAACGTTGAGTCAGAACCGTTAGTGACGTGTTCCCGGGAATATGTGTGACATGGTCCTTAGAATGCGTGGAGTAAGTTCTTTAGAATGTGTGTGATAAGTAACCCGGAATGTGTGTGATAAGTACCCCGGATTGTGTGTGATAAGTACCCCGGAATGTGTCGATACAAACATACACAGCAGCCATAGCAGTAGTCAGGTCTGGGAACACGACATGTGTAGACGTTCAGTTACTGATATTGACGTGAACGTACTCTGGGGATGTGTAGTAACAACTGCATATCAGACGACGAAACATGTTGTTGCTGCCCGTTTGTTTATTCGCGGGCGTCAAAAACCTCACCAACCAATGTCCTTCGGATAACATGTCGTAGATAACGTCATAAAGGCTCCGAATCCTCCTTAATTTGATCAATGCTTGAGTCCTAATTAAAGCCGAACTTTTAGTTTTGTCAGTATATGTTATTACTGAAAGTGTTCGAGAGGGTGTGATTAAAGGGGAGTTTAATGTTTAAATGGTGAAAAGAATTTAAGTGAAGTGATAATTTATATTAAGTATGTATGTCTGTATGTGTTTATCCAAAACAAAGAGATGAACGATATATGAATTTTAACTTTCTGACCAAAGCCTATCTGCTGGTAACATAGGATCGAACATATTACGACTACCGATATGAATTAGGGTATCGTATTTATAAAACCGACCATCAAATGTGTATAACTGACAACCATACAAACAGGTAATACACTGGTGAATACATATAATTGACAGCCATACATAAAGGTAATACAATGGTGTATACATATAACGGACAGTCATACATACAGGTAATACACTGGTGAATACATATAGCTGTCAGTCATACATACAGGTAATACACTGGTGTATACATATAACTGACAGTCATACATTCATGTAATACACTTGTGTATACATATAACTGACAGTCATACATACAGGTAATACACTTGTGTATACATATAACTGACAGTCATACATACAGGTAATACACTGGTGTATACATATAACTGACAGTCATACATACAGGTAATACACTGGTGTATACATATAACTGACAGTCATACATACAGGTAATACACTGGTGTATACATATAACTGACAGTCATACATACAGGTAATACACTGGTGTATACATATAACTGACAGTCATACATACAGGTAATACACTGGTGTATACATATAACTGACAGTCATACATACAGGTAATACACTGGTGTATACATATAACTGTCAGTCATACATACAGGTAATACACTGGTGTATACATATAACTGTCAGTCATACATACAGGTAATACACTGGTGTATACATATAACTGTCAGTCATACATACAGGTAATACACTGGTGTATACATATAACTGTCAGTCATACATACAGGTAATACACTGGTGTATACATATAACTGTCAGTCATACATACAGGTAATACACTGGTGTATACATATAACTGTCAGTCATACATACAGGTAATACACTGGTGTATACATATAACTGTCAGTCATACATACAGGTAATACACTGGTGTATACATATAACTGTCAGTCATACATACAGGTAATACACTGGTGTATACATATAACTGTCAGTCATACATACAGGTAATACACTGGTGTATACATATAACTGTCAGTCATACATACAGGTAATACACTGGTGTATACATATAACTGTCAGTCATACATACAGGTAATACACTGGTGTATACATATAACTGTCAGTCATACATACAGGTAATACACTGGTGTATACATATAACTGTCAGTCATACATACAGGTAATACACTGGTGTATACATATAACTGTCAGTCATACATACAGGTAATACACTGGTGTATACATATAACTGTCAGTCATACATACAGGTAATACACTGGTGTATACATATAACTGTCAGTCATACATACAGGTAATACACTGGTGTATACATATAACTGTCAGTCATACATACAGGTAATACACTGGTGTATACATATAACTGTCAGTCATACATACAGGTAATACACTGGTGTATACATATAACTGTCAGTCATACATACAGGTAATACACTGGTGTATACATATAACTGTCAGTCCTACATACAGGTAACACACTGGTGTATACATATAACTGTCAGCCATACATACAGGTAATACACTGGTGTATACATTTAATTGACAGCCATACATACAGTTTATTCACTGGTCTATACATATAACTGACAGCCATACATATAACAGTCATTCATACAGGTACTACACTGTTGTAAACATATAACAGACAGCCATACATACAACTCATCCACATATATATACACACATATACGTGCTGCTGATCTACAGTACCGCAGTTAACTTGACCGATGTAATTTTAAGCATTTTTGTTTTGGATGAGTTGCCATGGTTTTAAACATTGAGTTAGATAATTATCAAATTTAAGGACCGGTGAAGGTACTGGAACATTTTGAAAGACTATAATTTGAAATAGAAAACAAATTGGTTTATCACATCGTTTATACACAGAATGGGAAGCATACAATGTTTTACACAGAATAGGGAGCATACAATGATTTAATTTAATAATTAAGCACGGTTTTGATATTGCACTTGTCATCAAGTGTTCTATATTTGATTATTCTTTATTATGAAAATGAATTGATTTTATGTTATACTAGAAACCCCATTATGTCAGAACTCGTCAGAACTGTTGAGACGTTAGATAAGAATCATCAAAAAAATATTAAATAATTGTTCGTGATCTCGGGTCAATTTGAATTATTACATTTTATATCTAAGTAAGATCTCTTTAATCATTCCTTTTCCCCTTATTTAAAAAACGTCTGTAAATGTTTGCCTTTGTTATGAGTTGTTCAATGTGCAGACTTAGCTGATCGTGACACAGTCGAATTGTTGGCAAGGACAACACTACGTGCACATTGACTATTTGAGGTATGCTTGTTGTACATGTAACAAACAATATGTCTACGAATCATAACACCCTAAATAAAACGTCCAAAGGGATTACCTATTTACCTCATTGTGTCGTGGGTAGAATGTTTGTTATTCTTTTGTTTACTTGGTATCCCGTTCTTGTTCAATGTGTTGTATTGCAACATGTGGTTAAATGAATAGTGAAATATCTTTGTAACATAACAAAAATAAGGTTGTTTGCATCGCTGTTTACACATATTACCGTACCTCTGTTATATACGTATTATTGAGGGTAAATTAACACTGAAGGAAACTTTGAGAGGAAACCCTAAGTGAATGAAGCCTATGTATATATCTGTCAAAGTCGGGTTGTCATTACGTCTACACTGGCTATTTGACCTTTCTCTTGTTATCGTTGTCTAGGTTGATGATATACGTTACAAATCATACGACCAAAAGTGTGGAGTCTGATGATAGAATCTACAATTTTATTTCATTGTTAAACGAATAAATGTGGAATTGGCAAAACTCATTATTGTCTTATTGTTGTTATTCTCGGTGACATCTCTCCTAATAGTTGTTATTGCAACGCACTAAGACACAAAACATTTTCAAGCATACATTTTCTTTTGCTAAAGAATATTACATGTATTGGTTACTACGGGGGAAAGTGCTATCAATCAAAGGCTTTTCCAAAAATACGTTTACATTTTGAAGACAGAACGCCGATATGAAGGTCCTTCGTTCATTCATTACTTCACCAGCGTGATGCTACTTCCAAACCATTTTAAGAAGATGTAAGAAGACATACTATAATCCCCACATTCAGCAGATTCGGTTACCTACACTTCCTCGTGGACATAACGTTTAATTCAGGAAGCCAGCAGACTATTCAGGTCAGCAATTGTAACTGATTGCTTTGAGTGAACTCATATCAAATGACTGAACACGGTGTCAATGTTTCCAAGTCTCGAGTTTGACTAAGCAATGGGCAGAAGAGAACCAAGGTCATCTCTGACAGTGGTTAAGTGTGGTCGGTTGCGCAGTGGATGGCGCACTTGCCTTTCACCAAGGCGGCCGGGATTCAATTCCCCGATCGGACGTGAAAAGGTATAGGATCACCTGCCCGACCACGTGGGCTTTCTCTGGTTACTCCGGTCTCCTCCCACAATAGGACTAACATCCGGGTCAACCAGAGTGATTAGTATAAGTTGCAAAAACTTGTTTCATAACTGTTGTAAAATAAATAAACTTTATATCATCTTAGTGATTACGTGTAACTTACATCGGTGGTGTTGATATTTCATCATCATGATTAGTGGTGACACAACAATGCTGCAGTGTTCGCCACTTCCCACCATTTTAGATTCGGCGCTTATCAATGATGGGACTTTTATCAAATAATTTTATTATGATAGTAATTTGGCATACTTTATTAAAGATATGAACTTAAGTACCTACTTTATTAATTTAAGTAATTAAAGGAAATTCATTATGACTTTTTGTATTTTATAACTATATTTGCAGTGAGGACTATATTTTGTCGCGTTGGGTTGTCTAGACATGCTAGTGGTAAAACGGTTCGGATCAAGTATTATCAGCTTGATGGTAGCTTCGCATTCCTTGGTAAGTTTTCATAAAAACATGTAATAAACAGAATATCTTACAGTGTTTTCAGTAATACCAGATATATTTCACTCGTATGGCTTAATACGGTGCTACATTTAGGACATGCACAATATTATTTTCCACTTTGATTTTCTCGAAAGTTCGACTTATTGTTTCGGGCGTTTTTCTTAGACTTTACGTACGAATCGCTTGATGATAGTTTTGTATTGAAATCGTGATAGCAGAGGAGATGTACGGAAACGTAAATGGTCCTCTCGTTGTTATAATTTATGTCAATTAATCGACATATGTCTTAACTACAAATTACTTGACACATTATCTTTTTAAATGTCGATATTTCGTGATATATCATAATTTGTCGAAATACTTTATACGTAGATCAACAATGTCAAGACCAGAAACTCGTCTAAAATAGCCTATGTCGATAAGTAAAATGCTTTTAAAATCTAATTCAATATATCAAAATTACCTGTGTAGTTAAATAATTTAAAGGGTTTTCGTACAATTATGTTTTAGAGAGGGTCTGATGGAGGGAGTTGTCAACAACTGTTACCATTCCATTTATATACAATCGTATATCTAAATTGTTGTTTTGTTAGAGAGATTACCAGAAATTGAATGCATGCTTTGTAATCCTCACTTAGTTGAAAGGTATAAATAGTATTCGCTTCTTCATTGCGTCCTTGCATGCCGCTTTTCCAAGTCGCATGAGTAGGGTTCGATTTCCCAAACAGGTATTATTTAAACTACCTTATCACATTGGTTTCTCCATTAAGTCTCCTGTGTGTTACAATGGCGGTTAACACGAGAGATTAGCAAGAAACATTAATTGTCATTGCTAAAGAATAGATCAAGCTAAAATAATCTAGAAAGTGTAAACGACATTGAAAGAATTGTACTCTATTAGTTAAAAACAGGCAATAATAAATTTAAAGTGGAATATAAAAGATTTAATTATGCTGACCATCAAAACTAAAAAGATTAAAAAAATTGATATCCAAGATGGTCAATATGATTTTTGATACAAAGGGAATGGGACTGGTCGGGATTGTACCGAATGTCTGTTAGTTCTACCATTTGAAACCTGGTAGTTCGTGGAACTTAATGCTTTTTCTTCTTTTCTTAACTTTCTAAACTTGATTGATTTACCTTGTTTGCCTCCTTGCATTGTTGCATCTTACGTTTTTGTGGAATATTTGATAAATCTGTTTGTTTATGATAAACGTGTTATAATGAGAGGAAATTGCTAAATTTTAAAAACCTTTGTTAAATTCGTATCTATTCTGATATGCATTTAAATTTATTTAAATTTTGGAGATTTTATTTTGATAAAATGCCCCTTTCCGACTTAAGAAAGGAGGACATGTTTAGATAAAAAAAAATAGTATACAATGCCAAAGAGCCAGAAAAGATGAATATTAACCAACAGTGACTAAAGGGATC